TAGAGGACCTTTGTGAAGGGCCTGGAGCCTGGAGCATGGAAACGGCCCATCCCTGCCAACAGCAGCTGTCACCAGAGATGCTGTTGACTGGGCCCTCCTCACCTGGGGTCATGCCCTCTGCTGGGCACTTTGCACAGTGGCCTTCTGTGCAACCTGTTTTTAGACATGGTTTCACTATGTAGCCAGAACTCGTTATGTAGATCAGACTGGCCTTGAACTCAGAGAGCTCCACCTGCCTCTGTCTTCCCAGTGCTGGGATTAAAGGCAGGCTTGCAACCATTCAACCTTCTTCTCCCCTCCCTCTCTTTCTCCTCCTCCCAACCCCTTTCTGTTGTTGTTTTTGTCTTTTTCTCTATTCTATGTAGCCCCTGGCTGTCCTGAAACTCTCTGTAGACCAGGCTGGCCTCGAACTCAGAGATCTGCCTGCCTCTGCGTCTGAGTGCTGGGATTAGGCATGTGCCACCTAAGGGGCTCACTAAGGGGAGCCCCTTTAGTGTCTTCCTGCCTAGGGTAAGACATCGGTGTCCCAGGATTAAGCAGATTACCCAAGCAAGGCCCCAGTTAACAGGCCAAGAGGCATGGCGTCTGCTTTGGGTTCAGGCCAAGGCTACTGGCCTGAACAAATTCAGGGATTGCCTGGACAACACTGAAAGATTCTATCTCATGAGGGCTGGGTATCACCCTGCATGCAAGGGCTGTTCTGTCCCTGGTGCCACAAAGAACAGAATAGAGACTAGCTCGAAACTTAGGACTTCAAGTCATTAGACTACGCAATATCATCATTTTTGACTTTTTATGTGCAAGGTTTTTTTTTTGTTTGTTTGTTTGTTTGTTTTTCGAGACAGGGTTTCTCTGTGCAACTTTGGAGCCTATCCTGGCACTTGCTCTGGAGACCAGGCTGGCCTTGAACTCACAGAGAACTGCCTGCCTCTGCCTCCCGAGTGCTGGGATTAAAGGCATGTGCCACCACCGCCCGGCTATGTGCAACTTTTTAATTATTAAGTATTCTTTGTGTGTCTGTGTGTGATACTGACATGTGTATCTGTGCACACATGCATGCAGTGTCCTCAGTCAGAAGTCAGAAGAGGAGAGCAGAGAGATCCCCTGAGACTGGAACCCCTGTCTTCTGGAAGAGCAGCTGGTGCTCTTAACCACTGAGCCATCTCTCCAACCCCTCTGTGAAAGTTTTAAGAACTCATAAAGACATCAATGATTTGGTTTTATGGGATTTATTTCTAGTAGCTGTAAATACTGTTGCTTATATTTCCCTATTAAAGAAGAAACTGTAAAACACCACGTTTTGTGTATGAGGAATCCAGATTGAATAGTTAACTGTATCAATAGACAATATTTCAAAGTCTGGCAGTGGTAGAGCACGCCTTTAATCCCAGCACTCGGGAGGCAGAGGCAGGTGGATCTCTGTGAGTTCGAGGCCAGCCTGCTCTACAAAGAGAGTTCCAGGACAGGAACTCTAGCTACACAGAGAAACCCTGTGTCAAAAACAAACAAACAAAAATTCAAACATCAAGCTTAAAAGTGGCCTGGAGGAGCTGGAGAGAGAGCAGTTAAGAGCACCAGCTGCTTTTCCAAATGGCCTAGGCTGAGTTCCCAGCATCCAGTGGTAGATCACAATACCTCCTTCTGGCCTTGTAGGCACCAGGCATGCACATGGTATACATACATACATGTAGGTACTCATCAAAATAAATACAAAAGTTCAAACAAAATAACAACAAGAAGAACTTGGTGTTTGGGGGCCAGTGACATGGCTCAACTAGCACAAGCTTTACGGCCTGGATTGGATCCCCAGAAGCCTGATAAGGTGGGAGGAGAAAACCAGCTTCTCAAAGGTCCTCTGACCTTCATATGTGTAATGTGACATGGACATACTCCCACATGATAATATACAGAATAATAAATGCTTAATACAAATCTCACATTGGCCATCGTCACATGTGTAATGTGTCCTTCACATGTGTAATGTGACATGGACATACTCCCACATGATAATATACAGAATAATAAATGCTTAATACAAATCTCACATTGGCCATCGCTTACACATGTGAAGTTTGAGCTAGAATCGTTTGTCACTGATGATGGTAGTGACGACAATTTGTAAATAACTCACTTAAAAATAAAAAGTATAGCCTGGAGGTGGAGGTGCACACCTTTAGTCTCAACACTCAGGAGACAGAGACAGGTATACCAATGTGAGTTCTAGGACAGTCAGGGCTACAGAGTGAGTTCTAGGACAGCCAGGGCTGCCTAGAGAAACCCTGTGTCCAAAAGCAAAAACAAAAGCAAACAAAAAAAATGTATGAGGGGCTGGAGATGGCTAAGTGGTTAAGAGCACTGGTTTCTCCAGGGCTGCCTAGAGAAACCCTGTGTCCAAAAGCAAAAACAAAAACAAACAAAATAAAATGTATGAGGGGCTGGAGATGGCTAAGTGGTTAAGAGCACTGGTTTCCCTTCCAAAGGACCCAAGTTTGATTCCCAGTGCATACATGGTGGCTCACAACTGTCTGTAACCCCAGTTGTAGGGAATCCAACACCCCCTTGTGTCCTTGGCAGGCACTGGGCACACATATGCTACACAGACATACCTGCAAGCAAATACCCTGCCTTTTGTCTATGTTTACAGAAAAGTGTGCCCAGAGGAGTATGTCATCTAGGCCCCCAGCAAAGATCTAGAGCAGTTGACAATTTGAGCAAATGAACTGTGAGATCCTTGGCAACCGGTCTCTGTCTATTCTGGGCCTCTGTAGAGCTGAGCCGAAGGCTGAGAACCAAGCTGGCTAGTTAGCTTTAGATACCGGGTATCTCTCCCAGGGTCTGAGCAAGAGCAGAATTAATTCCCCAACTCCCTGGCTCCCTCCTTGCCACAGGGTTGCTGGAACGGCCGGTACTGCCCCCTTCAGTGGCCATTGATACAGCCAACTACAAGATCTTCGTGTCCGGGAAGAGTGGTGTGGGCAAGACGGCATTGGTGGCAAAGCTGGCAGGCCTGGAAGTTCCTGTAGTGCACCATGAGACGACTGGTGAGTGGATCTAACCCTCAGCCTGTCCTTGGTGGCCTTCCATGAGATGGAGGCAAGAACTTGGTCCCAGACTACATTAGCAGGGGTTCATACGGAACATGCCATTTCTTCTGTGACCTTGGGAAGTCATATTGTTTGGTCTGGTACCAGAGACAGTGGTGGCTACATACCTCGGATCTAGTTGGTATAAAGGTAGACGCTCAAGACCTGCCCATCCCCCTTTCGTGTTTCTTTCTGATCCATCCTATGTCCCAAGACCTTTGAGGTCTCCCTATATAAGCAGTGAGACTGCTTTCTTGTGGCGTGGGTCAACTCTGCCTGGTCTACCAAGGACTCCTGCAGCCCAACACTGTTCCTTCCTGATCTGAGGGTTCTCCCAGGTCAGGGACCTTGCCTTCCATGTTGGGGTGGTGACCCACAGGGTGGAGATGTAGCTCTTCTTCATACCCCTTCCCAGCCCCACCCTACCCCACCCCACTTCTGATTGGCTGATCCCAATTCTTCTCAGGTATTCAGACCACTGTGGTGTTTTGGCCAGCCAAGCTAAGGGCCAGCGACCGTGTGGTCATGTTCCGCTTTGAGTTCTGGGACTGTGGCGAGGCCGCCCTCAAGAAGTTTGATCACATGCTGCCGGTGAGCTGGGCCTGGGCGGGCTGTGGGCAGAGGTTGTCAGAGACCCACCCTGTCCACAGGATCCTGACTTGAACATTAGTTACCCGAGGGCAGTGTACTGGGCTGCAGGGCTCTGACTGGCACTGGGGGTGCTCCTGATCATTCTTGGGGACCTCTGGGCCCATGGGGCCATGTGGTCACATGTCATGTGTCCTCAGGCTTGCAAAGAGAATGCAGATGCCTTCCTGTTCCTCTTCTCTTTTACTGACCGCGCCTCCTTCGAAGACCTTCCTGGACAGTTGACCCGAGTAGCCAGTGAGGCTCCTGGGGTCGTCAAAATGGTCATTGGCTCCAAGTATCCTTTGAGCGGCCCCTAGAACGCACTCCTGGTAAGGTACTTGTCACTCTGTAAGGTCCGACCCATAGGTTCTCTTCAAAGGGTGTCCAGGACCTACCCCAGCCTCTGGGTGTGGCCTCTAGAGGGAAGGCCAAGGCTGGGTCTGATGGGGTGGTGAGCTGAGCCTCTTGGCTAGGAGCCTTAACCCTCCTCCAGGTTTGACCAGTACATGCACACAGACGTGCCAGAGCGAGACCTCACAGCCTTCCGGCAGGCCTGGGAACTGCCCTTGCTGCGGGTGAAGAGTGTACCAGGGCGGCGGCTGGCAGATGGGCGTACACTGGACGGGCGAGCTGGGCTGGCTGACATTGCCCATGTGCTCAATGGCCTTGCAGAACAATTGTGGCACCAGGACCAGGTGGTGGCCGGCCTGCTCCCCAGTTCCCCAGAGAATACCCCTGGCTGAAGGGTGACGGCATCCCGAGTAGGGACAAGGACTGATGATCCTTACACCCATCCCTTGGGTGATTTTGGACAGATGATGGAACCTAGGGCTAATGCAAGGACCCTGTTCTGTCCTCAGAACCTTCCAGGGAGGGCACTCACCTGGTGGTAAGGTGGGGACACAAGCTCCAGAGCTGAAAGGTCTCCTAGCCCCCCCACCCCTCACCCTTCTGCAGCACCCACCGAGGGTATGGTAGGGGGGGACACCTCAGAAGGACCCTGGACCTCTCTTGACTTTGGCCAGGAGCTTTATTGGTTCAAGTAACACCATTTGCTCTAACAGATAAACTCTAGAATCTCAGTGGCTGAACTCTGTAGAATGGGTTTGTTCGTTTTCTCCCTGCACCTACTCAGAGCTATGTTCCTAGTTTATTAGCGTCCCAAGTCAGCAGACATGGAATGAATGCATGTATAAGGCTACCAGAGGTCTCTGTGGACAGACCGCAATGGCCAGCACCCAGTCTCATGGTGCTAAAGGGAGCCTGAGAGAAGTGGTCCACCTGTACATCCAGGAAGCTAGCCCTTCTCTCTTGACCTTGACTGCTATGAAGCTGTAAACACGCCTTCAGACAAGGGCTTTGCCTAGGAGTCAGAAAACACCACTGGGCAGGACCAAGGGCCCTCCCTACTGAGTAGAGAGTGGGATGTGGGGTAGCCTGAGCTAGCTCTCCTGTATGGAAAAAGGGAGAGCATAAGCAACGCCACTGAAACCACTGATCTAGACCACTTTGTGGGTAGAAAGATTTACTGGGGTCAGTGTGCCAAGGCTATCTCTCCTTTCTCGGGCAGAGAAAACAGCAAAATGGTGGAAAGCAAGCACATTTTATGTAACAGTCAGCAGGGTAGGATTTGTGAGCTGACACAGACCATTCAGATTAACTGGGAACTAGATGCCCAAGGTAGTTGATCTTTGGGGCAAATTAAAGGGGGGACAGTCCTAGTTAATAGGAATCCAATCTAGAGGATTCTTGAGGAACCCCAAATTTAAATTTCTGTTTACCCAGTAACAATCAATTCTGTTGATCCAGTCACAGTCCTTATGTTTAGGACCTTGTCAACCAAGCCCCATCAGTCACAGACGCCGAATGGATGTTAATGTCAGCAGTTCTTACCTTTTGTTTGCTTGTTTTTGGAGACAGGGTTTCTCCAGCTCTTGACTATCCTGGAACTCTGTAAACCAGGCTGGCCTCCAACCCAGAGATCCACCTGCCTCTGCCTCCTGAGTGCTGGCATTAAAAGCATGCGCCACCATTGCCGGCTGGATTTGAGTAACTTTTATGTTAGTATAACAAAGTGACAGAAGCAATGTGGGCTCATGGTTTAGGAAACTTTAGCCCATGATGGTGAAGAGGCCATGGCAGGGTAAGGCGCTTAGCCTGTGTTGATAGACACACGAAATCCGTATCATACTGTGACAGGCAGGAAGCCGAGAGAGCAAGACCAGAACAGGAGTGGTGCTATACTGTAAAACCCCACTCAGCCAGGCACCGTGGCACACCCCTTTAGTCTGGAGGCAGAGGCAGGTGAATCTCTGGGACTTCAAGGCTAGCCTGGTCTAAGTAGTGAGTTCCAAGACAGCCATAGCTACATAGTGAGACCCTGTCTCAAAAACAGCCCACTCTCAGCAACCAGAGCTCAGCTTCCAATATAAAAGTTCACAATGTCCCAAAACAGCACGTCCATTTAGGAGGTGTTCAGACAGCTGGGCCTGTGGGAAAACGGTGCAGACCCAGGCTGTCACCTTGCCATAGGTTCATGGCTATCTCCTATTGAAGAGTCCCTGTAACAGTCCCAGAATAAGTTACATATATCTAACTCACAGTGACACCAAGTCAACAATTCCATTCCAAAAGGAAGCATGGGGGGCAGGCAGAGTTGGAGCCCAGCATGGCAAATTATAGCCCCAAGGCTCCATGTCCTTTGTCAGGTGTCATGGGAGCCCCTCTGTGCTTGGCCAGCTCTGCCTCCACCATGTTGCAGTACACCCTCGGAATCTCTCTCTTGGGTTCCCTCCATTTGGTAACTACAGCTTTCTTCTGAGATGTCCCACATTCCTGAAATTTCCTGAGGATCCCTGGAGGACAAAGTTGATGATCACACCCCAGGTGGGATCAGGGTTCTTCCCTGGGACTAGGAGGGTGGGGATGTGTGCAGCCAGGTCCAGCCCCACTGTCTCCCCGGGGGCTCTCCAGCTGTCTTCTCTTGCCTCTCACATCCAACAGATATAGTGAGGGTGAAGCCCTAAGAGGAACAGGAAGTCAAGGTTTCAAAGATGCAAACAGCCCTTATACTGGTGGGCCAGGCTTCTCACTAGCTACCCTTGCCCATCTTGCTTCTATCCTGCAGGAGGGGAGATACCTTGCTGGGGACTTCCTCCCTTCCTCCCCCTTCCTCCTTCCCTTCCTTTCCCTGTCCCTGTTCTCTTTCTCCTTTCTTTCTCCACCCCTGCTCCTTCACTCCTTGGGCATACTGAGCCACTAGACAAGTTCTTGCCAGTTGAGCAGCCAGCTGGGCCGTAGGATGTCAGAGAGGATGATCCACAGCAAGGTACTGGGACACAGGACCAGGTCATGCAGAGGCTGCTGGGCAGGCCATAGGAGTCCATGGCTAAGTCCTGGATGGAGCCTGAGTTTTCTGTCCAGGCTTCTAGATCTTACTCTCTGGCCAGCCTGTGCCTCTCCTAACCTTCATGTGCCAGGTTCAGTCTAGGGGAGCTAGGAGTGTGCAGAGTTAGGGGTGGGGCTAAAGGTCAGGGCAAATCAACAGAGGACTTGGGGGGGGTGAGATAAAGGATGGGGGCTAGGACAATGTCAGGAGTGAGTGCTCAACTCCTTTAGAAAGCACAGGAGAGGCACTGAGGCTTACATGAGGGATGGTCCAGCAAGAAGATGAGGGAGAACTGAGTGAGCACACACAGTCTATATGCTCAGCAGACCTGCTGTCTAGGGGAGGTAACAGCAGCACGCAACCTACCCAGGGAAAAGTTTAGCCCTGCCCAACACCATGATAAGGTGCCAGAATGCTGACTTGCTGAGGTCTTCCCTTTTGTTTCATTTTAGAATATCTTCTATTCATTGATAGTTTCATACATGTATACAATGTATCTTACCTGTCTATAGCTTCCCCTGACCCACCCCTGAAGACAGAAGTTTCTCTGTGTAGCCCTGTCCTGCCACCTTTCAGTCCCAAATAAGCACACGGAGGCTTATATTATAAACTGTTGAGCCTATGGCTCAGGCTTCTTAGTGGCTAGCTCTCTCTTCATTATTAACCCACTTCTACTAATCTAAGTATCTTCACATAGTTTTGGCTTACTGGAAAATGCCCGGCATCTTATCTTCCTGGTAGCTGTATGGCATCACTCTCTGGCAATGGCTTCCCTGCTTCTTTCTCTTCCCAGAATTCTCCTAGTCTAGTATCTCCACCGATACTTTCTGCCTGGGTACTGGCCAATCAGCATTTATTCATCAACCGATAAGAGAAACATATTCACAGCATACGGAAGGACATCCCCCATCAGCCCCACCCCCGACAACACATCCCTATCTCATCTTCATATCCATTCTTTTTTGTAACCCACTGAGTCCAATCAGTGCCGCCTGCTGAAATGTTCACTGATTTCACTGGCTTGATCTAATGCAGGTAACCATAGTTACAGTGAGTTCCTGAGTGCAAACATCTGTGCCATGCCCAGAGGACAGAATTTCACACTCCTTCTCTCCATCCTTTGGTTCTTACATTCTTTCTGCCCCTTATTCGGTATTGTTCCTTGAGCCTTGGGCTGGGGGTGGGGTTGAAATATATGTGTCCTATTTAATCCTGAGCACTCAACAGTCTCTTGCTGTCTGTGGTTTGATTAGTTATGAATCTCTGCACTAACTGCTACCCACTGCAGAAAGGGGTTGAGAGCAGCACTAATCCATGGGTATAAGCAAATATTTAGAATGCAGTTTGACAACATGTCCATTTAGCAAAGCAACAGTATAAGGTTCCCTGCGAGAGCCTATGACCTCCAGAGCCTTTGAGCACTCTTACCGTACCAGACATGAATCCCTTCTCCTCTGAGGCAGACCTCAAATCCAATCAGAAAGTAATTGGTTGCCTGATTACTCCAAAGCTTTCATGCCACTATTGCACCGGTACAGAGACCATTCTTACCATAGAGGTGACTCTTAGGCTGAGAGCATGGAAGGGAGTCGGAAGGGACTCAAGTCTGCCAGGAGACCTCCTCCTCTATTCTGTCTTTAGCTCAAGTAAATGATAGTGAATGGAGGGAGGAGTGGCCCAGCTGGGCTGCTTGAGCAGCTCCTGGCTCCAGCACATCTGGTTCTCTGATTACCCAACCCTTCACACCTGAAGCAATGACAAAAACCCAGCAATGACCGGGATCTCTGGGTACCACAGGGACACTCATGTACCATTCCCTAGTGGCAGCATTTTCTTCCAGGTGAGAGACCACCCCACCAAGGATGCTGGAGTAGCCAGAGACAAGTCTCTCTTGAGCCGTCTTTCTCCCCAAGAATGCAGCAGTACCTCATTTCCCACTTCTCATAGTGGTTAGTTGTGGGGGACCTGGTCTACCTTGACATTTGGCTTCCCAGGAGCACAGCTAAGTGATGCTCTTGGCCATCCCGACCTTGCCATGGGGACTGCTGGTGTTACACTAGGCATGGAGCCTATTGCATGCTGCAGGTAGAGGAGGAGTGGAGTCGTCTCAGGGATGGAGTCTCTTCAGGGGGCTCGGTGGTTAAGAGCACTGGTTGCTCTACCACAGGACTCAGGTTTGGTTCCCAGCATCCACATGATGGGTCTGTAACTCCACCTCCAGGGGATTCAGCATCCTCTTCTGGCTTCTTCAGGCAGAAGGCACATACGTGGAAAAACCATCACTGTGGGATACCCAGTGTCTACTGCAGAGGTGTACACAGTCAGTTAACACTGGTGAAACTGGTAAATTAACCTTGCTGCTCATCCATCCATCCATCCTCATATCCACCAACCATCCAACCAGACTTTCATCTGCTTGGTTGTTCACCCATCCACCCATCCTTCCATCCACCCGTCCATCTGTCCATCCACCCATCCATCTGTCCATCCACCCATCCATCTGTCCATCCACCCATCCATCTGTCCATCCACCCATCCATCTGTCCATCCACCCATCCATCTGTCCATCCACCCATCCATCTGTCCATCCACCCATCCATCTGTCCATCTGTCCATCCACCCATCCACCCATCCATCTGTCCGTCCACCCGTCCATCTGCCCTTCCTACCCACTTGTTTGCCCTTAAAGAGATTTACTGATTT